TAAATAAATCCTGTCTTAACAGTAGATTCGTTAATTTTTCGGTAAATATCTTTTCAGAAACCCACAGTTGCTTAACAAATTGTTAATTATGACAGTTTGTTAACTAATTCAATATTTGACATACTTTTCAGAAACCGGGTGTTAGACAACCCTCCTGAATTGTTTAATAAATCTTTTGAGATTATTTTATTATCATTTCTGGTAATGACATCTATAGACGCTAAAGATTTACTTCAACAAATATTTCGCCATTGTCCTTTTATTGTGTGAGTGAGGATAATACTGTTATACATTTCACTTACTTGATGACATTTCTTTTGGAGTCTCTCTTCTACCTCTTCCTTAAGTTTTTAACTATTTATTATACTAATTAATATGGAAAAGAGGGAATACAGGAAAATTTTTATTTAAGCATTTATTATTTTAATTATTAATTGCATTTTATGTTCATTTAATGCATATTATTTAAGTGCTTACATAGAGGTCATAGAGTCTATTCAGAATATATAAAGTGTACATCTTTTACGATTAAATATAATAATTATAACCTCAAAATCTAATACATTCTGTAGAAGGCCACGGTTCCTCAAGTTGTCCGTATCTCAACAATTGCCTAATGAGAGTTTATAAATGATTCCGAACACAACTAGCATTTTCTCATGGCTGTGCGTTCTGAGGCATTTAATGTATGGGGAACGAGCAATGTCCTTTGGTATGCGCGATACTTTCGGCAGTTTGTAAGCACGCATACCAAGATAATTATAAATGTGACATTAAAACGCGTGAATTAAAAAAAAAATAAAGGTTTCCGTGATGATGGATAATTTTTCCACCACCACCTTATCACACCATTCAAATAGGTATGCGTGACCTTTCCGGCTAAAAATCATTGGTCGGCCAGATTTTTTCTTGTTGAACATAATATTTCACACAAAATTCTATATAAGATTGATCAAAATCCGTGATGACGGAAAAAAATATGGAAATTTAATAATAAATAATTTAATTAAAATATTTCCGGCCAACCAAATCCACGCCGACCAAGCAAATCTTGTTCGTCTAAACGTTAACTTTTATTTTTTATTAAAAACTAGCGGCCCGCCCTCGCTTCGCTTCGGTGTAGAGCTGAAGTGTAGACTACAGTTTTTGTTCTCAGGCTTGTATTATACACAATGACATTCATCTATGATTCTTCTTATACCTGCATGCAAAGTCTCAGCCCGATCGGTTTAAAATTGATAAAGTTTCATACAAACTTTCATTCCTTATTTTATCCCCTTGGGATTTTCTTTATATTTTTTTCCGTAAGAACCTTGTACAGAGTATTAGAAAACTACAAAAAAAAACAGCCAAATCGGTCAAGCCGTTTTCATGTTATGTCGTGACAACGGAAAACGGGTTTCATTTTTATATATATAGATATTAGAATCTGTGTGACGGAGCTTTCAGGATTGGTGCCTCCCGGACTATAAGACAAACCGTCTGACCCAGGTACATGTAAGGGCAGGTAAGGGCTTCAGTACTGCGGATTATGTTTAGATTAACGAGATACATAATATTCCAGAATATGCTAACACATTGGATATCGTTTTAAAAATTAACAGCATCTACATTAATATAGAAATGCTAGAATAATAATACAAAGAAATACTTAACCTAAATCTCAGACATATAATCTTACGTTACAATTGTTCTTACACATTAATTACAATACAGTATTTTGCAATATAACTTTCGCAGACATTCGAACACCAGCTGCGCTTCTTGTGTAGATATCAATGATAACGTTAATTTATTAAAACCTATTTATATAAGCGATGGGAATAACATTTTTCTAAACTACTAAGATAATAATATGAAAATCTCTCATTTCAGTACCGATATTAATAAGTTTCATTAATAAAAAGAGTGCCCCTATGAAGTCTTCTTTACTATCACTCTGAGATCTTATATTCGTGTTTAATCAGATATCGTACGATAAAGGCTATATATTACTAGGTTTAATTTACTCTTTTTCATTTTTTCTCTTACTTTACCTCACCTGGTATCTCTCTGCGAAAATGACTCATTTCCTCATAGTTAATTGTGCTGAAATTGTGTTGTGATCATGAGAATTCCAAAACGTAGCAATAACATAGATTTTTTTGGGTTTGTTTGCATCATCTCGGCGAGGATGCTGGTTCTAGGCGTAAATAAGAACTTTACTAGTAGGTAATTCAACATCGTTAATTAAAATAATAAAGAAAAAAAAAGATTTTAACAAGCACTTATTTCCTCGTTTATAAAAGAGTATTAAAAAGGTAACATTATTTCTGATTGGAAATGAACTGTTGTTATTCGTGTAATTTTAGGATATAAGCTTGTTTGAAATAAAATTTATTCGTCAAATATTCTTATTTACAAAAAAAGTGGATGAAGGAGATAACTTCTTTTGCGTTTTTATACATCTGAAAATATTCACAACATTATTGTATTTAAATTAAATTATTGGTGGAACACTTTGTTACACAACAGTTGAAATTTTTACTTCACAAGTTCTTTTCCGATACGATTAATAGGGAAAGTTATTTCTTATCAAGAACATTGTCTCACTTCTTATACCTATGCGAAATAATAGCTGGACACCTAGGTATTTTACTTAAATATGGGATTAGTATAATGACAGTGCAGAGTATTGATCTGCAACACCGTAGTAACGGTAATTTAATGTAATCGGTTAGGAAATTAAATATAAAAGTCTACTCGTTCAAAAATAGATTATATGACTGTATGGGTTATACAATAATGTCAAATTGTCATTGACGTTTTGATATTTCTCTATTGGTTAAATCTTGTTTTAGTTGAATCGAAATTTAGCAAAGCAAGTGGGCTTTAGTCATTATGTTATGTATGTGCTTCTTATAGAATTCGATCAATTATGAAAATAATAGACCAAGCAATCTCTTATTCACATGTCTATCACGTTTTATATGAGTATAAATTATAAAATGAAATTACAACTGCTATTCTGTCATAGGTGTATAATATAGAAAATGGACGTTAATATAAATTTATGTGATTATAATTCTACAATCTCGATTATTTGGGTGACAATTATTGTTAATAAATATAATTGGAAACAGTTTAAGTAACTGTAATAAGTTTCTTAGGATAGCTAACTGCATCATCTTATTTTTGCTGTTCTTGAAAATGTCGACTTTGCCAGTCTCTTTGGCGTCTGGGTATTGATCTTCTGGCCTTGTACGGTTTAACGGAATTATGTAACTTTTCATCTCAAGGTTATTCATTCGCACATCCGTCTCTCCAAGAAGGTTCAATGTTAGTAGTTAATTTAATAGAAATATGCTTTCTGATTATATTGTAATTATTGTGACTCCGACTCATTGCTTAGGATATAATTAAAGTTCTTTCGAAAACTTTAAAGTGAGAATTTAATTCATACAACCATGTCTAGTTTCTAGTTTACTCGAATTTTATTCTTCAATCCATTATTCTAAGTTCTTTGTAAGTATTCAATGACACTTAATCTTGTCTGATCTGACAAACATAAATGTACCTACTTATCTATCTCTAAGATAGATCCATCGAATAGCCTTTTCTATTTGTGAACCTTATCTATAAAAAATACTAAACTGCGATCGAGACTTCATTCGTGTTGAACTCCCACCCAGTGCTGCCAACTATACGTCTTTTTACGTAGATCTACGTATTTTAGGCCTTTTCTGCAAACCTATTAACTTCAGTCCCAGAATCTACGTATTTTCTTTAATTTTTTCAAATTTCTAAAATAACTTAATTCACTAGAATAATCCGTTACTTAAAAACTATACAAATGTTTATTTATTATAAAGATATATCTAAAAACTCTTGTATCTTGTAGAAAAGGTTCACGTTATTGGTTTTGTTGACTAAATTAATGCTGGACGCAGGATTTGTGAAAGCAGAAACGACAAAACTCTTTGACTTAGTAGGTACAGTCATAACCTTAAAAATTGTATTTTTAAACTTTAAATATTATTTAATGAGTACTTACATCGAATTGATGTTTGCAAAATGAAATGTCTTTCAGTCGATAAAGTTACAAGATTTAGCAAGTTTTAAACATGTGTTCATGTGTAAGTATGTTTATTTCTCTTGGCACACAATTTAAACCACAACTTTTCTAGAGTCTTTTACCAAGTGTATCATGATAGCTACTATATTTTCATCTATTAGAAATCATGGTTTTATAATATTAACTCAGAAAGTTTATTACCTACGTGCTTGCGAGTGTTTGTTTACAAATGTTTTGACGTCATAGCATAGATAAGTCTATAGACTATTTAGTCTAGCGCTAAATAGCGCTTTTGTATGTCTTCTAAGTAAAAAATTACATTTTTTTCGGTCTGATAGAACAATTATTAACAATTTAAAACATAATTCCAAAAAGTGTCAACTAGCCTATTTAACAACAGTTTATCCTTGTCATTCTCTATACAAAATGGAAAGGAGAGACTGATGTTAAATTTAGTTATAAATATAGAGAATCATGCCAGAATCGACACCCACCAGTGTCTGTGTCTGATGGTAAATGTCTACCACAGCATGGTAAATGCTTCCAATGCTGCGACTTTTCCAAGAACTCTTTGTTCTATCTCCCGTTTTTAAAGAAATTGTATAACAAAATACTCGTTTTATTCGGTTTCACCTAACTTCTTCACTTCACTCAGAAAAAAGTACGTGAAGATCTACGTACTTTTCATATGCAAAATTTACCAATTCTACGTAATTTTCTCATCGGGCCTACGCCTTTTTCAAAATCCGAGCTGGCAACACTGCTCCCACCGTACCTACTCAACAAAAGGTAGATTATTAAATTCTTAATACTTACATCATAAAGAAATTTTCAGTGAAAGTTAATACCCCTTTCTGTGTTTTAGAATATAATTGAACAAATGCGGTATCATCAACAAAAGATTACCTACCTTACTAAATAGTCAATATCTGTAATTTCTCAGAAGGTTCAAATGATGATTACTCGGACAGTTAGTTTATCAATGTTCCCATCGTGATTCATGTTAACCCCGCAATAAAGCTTGAGTGTGTGTGTGAGTGCATATTGCACAAGTGCGCATGTGTTGATCGGGGGTGGTTTGGTAAGGTAGGGTCGAGGAAGGGGTGGTCACCCTAGATAACACGATTGGAAAACTCTAGGGCGGTGCAATGAATCCGGTAACGAGAATATGATTTTGTTTTCTCTAACGCTTTTCGATGTGGAGAAGTAACTGCAATATTTGTGTCATGGCCACTCTGAGCTGAACAATAGCAAGGGGTAGGAAAGATGTGAATATAACTAGGTTCATTTAGAATTTTGATTGCGTTTGTCTAATATAGTTTGTCAGAGCCATATGATTTTTCATATGCTAATGTTAAACGTTAGTGCACATGGGTTACAAGCAAAATAACATATTTTTTATAAAATTGATGCCTTCATAATAATTTCTCATTAAATAAATTTTCTCAATTGATATATAAATGTGAGCTTTAACGTGCTTTTCTCCTATACGGCTAAATTTATTATATATTAACTACTTTCGAATGCATTTACAGGTACGAAATAGTAGTAGCAAAATATTTTCTACTTTAATTGGGTTAAATAAAGGGAAGGAATAGCCTTCTGGGAATCTTATGTTCAGAGCATTATTGTTCTTAAGTAAATTTTTTTCTCTCACTTTTTTTGAATGAATTAATTTTGACTATTATATTTTGTTGGGATATTCTATTGACATGTTTAAAAAGTAATTTTAAGAGAAAAATATTTTATGGATAGGAAGAGAACAATAGTTAATATTAAAAAGTATTTTTTTCAGTTTAACTAACGAAATTTTTGTCTGACAAAACAGTACAAAAACTTGTCGTTTTCAGTGATTTTAACTATGTCAGCTTGCTTTTCTGTTTATTGGTTTTAATCTGTAATCCTTTTTACATGGTTCCAAAATGCACTGTTTCTATAAAATTCTATTTTTTTTATAACTTTTAATTTCAGTGTTCGTCCTCGCAATCAGGTTAGAAATTAAGAAACTGAAAAGACTACAGTCCTCTAGTTAGATCACCTGCCGCAGTTATCCGAACTATCGACTCGATAATGCTAATCGAGAGGCCAGCTGCGTACGCCGCACTATGCTCGGTGCCGCCACCAGTCGATTCATTTCAGTATTCAGTACGCAATTTCACACTACCGCGGGCGGACGTGTGGCCTGTATTCTCATAAGCCGGCACCAAAATATATCTTGAAACCGTTTACGTGTCAAATTGGAACACTGTCCTAATTATTTTTATAAACGTAAATACAATTTACAAGTGTGGAAGTATAATTAAATTTTGACTTTCTCGAAAACCTTGGTTGTGCTGACTGCGTTATGCTTTCTTCTATTGGAATTTAATTATGTTCAACACTCATACTACGATATTTATTAATATGCCGTTTTAAATTCAAAATTGTGGTTTGATACGTTTTTGTAAATGATCGTTGGTCAATGGAATAATTTTATAAAATACCCGAGGTTATTGCGTGCTTGTAAACGAGGTCTCGTAAAATCGATTCCAGTTCCAACTACGGTGCCGTACTCGTAGATTTGTTTATATTTTATAAATATTTTTCTTTTATTATCTTGAGGATTATTTATAAACTTCTCTCATAATTCGTAATATGTATACAGTTTCTGAAACTTATACAAAACTGAAATTACAATCATTCTTATACTTTATTAATTTAAGATTTGTTTTTATTTTTTTTATCACAATTTCTATACCAGATTTCTTAAAACCATATTATAATTCCGTTGTATTAGACCAAATATTCGTGATCATTAAATGGAGGAATAAGGTTGCAGTTTTTACTTTTGAAATTTAATAGATTTGCTGATTTCATTCTTTTGTTTTATTGATTTCAATATAACATTCAGAAGCGAATAAAACCAATTGTTCAACTCAAATTAATCTATACTATTGTGCTAATACTATACAGCAATGTACTCTTAACAAAATGAGATAAAGATCCGAAGAAATAAATGTTGATTAATTTTGTTGTTACATTCTAGTGATTATTTGTCTCAAGTTATTAATACTACACAGTTGACTCATTCAGCGCGTTTTAATCACGAACATCTATCCGTAGTTAGAAGTCGGAACCAGTGTAAATGGGTGAAAGTTTTAGTTTCGAAGCAATGTAATGTAATGTTTTTTTTTTCTTAGGTAATTTTACTTTTCTTCTTTAAAAAGACTATTGATACCATTTCAAAAAAAAGATATTTTTTTGGAAAATTCCAACCGCTTGATTTTCTTATTTTCATTTTTCACATAGAGAGAGAAGCGTTGGAGAGCCTTTAAGATTCCCACGGTTGTAAAACAAGTCTGCATCTCAGTTTATAATCCCATAAATCTTGTTTCAATAATCATCTTAGGCTAGGTTTTCCGTCGTTGATTTATAGTTCATCGCTAGTAGCTTCTGCAATTCGTATTGCTAAATGAAATCACTGGCTATCGGTAAAGGTGCAGAATGCTGTTGTAATTCGCACGTCAGATTATCGCATGACTTCCACCTAAGTAGTCACGCGTTCTTTACATTCTTCCAGTATTTTAGTAACCATCTTCATTGTCCAATAATTATGTACATACATCACTGACAGCAATTATCAGTGTAAGTGTGTGAACGATGCGGATACTTTCATTCTAACCTACATACAGTATTTTTAGTAAGTTGACAATATTGTCAACTAGAATCTAGCGCTAACGCATTGCGGCATTGTTCAGTATTTTTTTATTATTCGGTATGTTTACAGCCATTTCTTTTATTTTACATCTGACACGTGAATTTTAAACGTCCTTCCATCTAATGCATAAAAAAATAACATTGTAATTTTTACTTAAACCTTTGTTTCCATTCGAAATACATATTTTTTATGTGCAGATAAGCTACTGTGCACGCTATACTTAACCTCTATTAAACTAACGCGATTCATGTAAACAAGATATACGAAATTAACTGATGCTGATATTGTATGATTTGCATTGTTGTTATGACTTATGTTAGTATGATATAAACAAAGAAGCCGTGTCTGTATACTGTCATCGAATGATCTAAAGGGATCAACGACACGCCAACCGCGGAGTTGCGTAGGAGTTGATCTATTTTCACTCTTAGTTTATATTTCTAACTCGTTCTCTCACACGAGAAATTAATAAAGTCATCTCTTACTGTTCTGAAATTGTGCAACAATTGGCACGGTATTTATTTTCCTGCGTCTGTCTGCCAAAAACACACGTGGATGACCTGATATAGTTAACGTTTCTTTAATGCAGTTCACGATCCGTTTCTTTTTATTGATATTCATCGTATACGAGGTTTTGTTTAGCCGACGCGTTTGATGACTATTTCTTGTTAATGGTGTGTTTATATTGTGCAGTCGTGCGTAGCAACCACGAAGACGTTTATATTTGCCCTTCCAAGGTCGTCGAGAAATAACTTTACCTTAATTGAAACATATTTTCATTTCATATTACAGTGCGTAGTGTTTACAGTTGTCGTCGAGGAAAGATATTTTTGTACGTTTTAATTAATTAGTATTGATATAACGTGTGTGATAGTAATGTTGCTTGATAAATCGATTTAAGTGAAATGGATTAGTCTTGAATAGTTTTCCACCGATTGTATAATGTCGAAAACTTTAAACGCATACAGAATGTAAGTACTATTAATTTATGATGATTAACTCTTTAATCATCATAATTATTATGGTTCAGCCTGGTCCTTTCCTCCCGTTTCCCTTTGTTTAAATACAACCCTTCTGATGTGCATTTTGAAATGATGCATTAGTCTTAAAGCAGTTCCCATTTACTTAATGAATATTTAAGGTCTACCTTTTTTCGTAGAACTTTGAATGTCATAATATCATTATGCATATCAGCGGATAGCATTAACTCCATTTTTCAGAATATCATTCCATATTCACTCATTTATTAGACATTAAATCTCATATATTTTATGCGAGAGTTATCTATAGCCATAAATTTAATATTCCTAATATGTAATTAAAAGCGGAAGCATCATATCGCAGAAAGCAGCGTCGGAATCGTCTTTTGGCATACGAATATTTAATTATTCTTTGTATATTTATGTATTAGCTGTCAGGTTAGATTAGACTTGCTGACTAAGATTAGGTTACAACACAATACTAACCTAACCCACTGACCACAAATACCAAATTTAACTTACTAAAATTATGCGGGTTAAAATTTTGTTTTGGTTTTGCCAGAATAAAATTTCGCCAAATTATGCCTAATGAAATTTTGTCATCTGAAAAGTATGCGATTGTGAATTAGGACAATAAAAATTCGTTATATTAATAATTATAAAGAAGAATATGCCTTACAAATAAATCTTTCAGTTATGGTTATGCCAAGTGTGCTATGCTAATGCTGCCAGATAGAGGCAAACCAAATTTTACTTACAGTTTTTTTTAATCTTGTAATGTTTGTTCTATTTTATATGAATTCTGTCTGTTCTTATACAAAATTTATCTGTTATTTTTTTTGATTACTTTGTAGTTAGAATTTGATTTTTTCTATTATTATTTCTATCTTCGACAGTTTTTAAACTATTATACAATGTTAGCAAATGACTTCATATTCAATAATGCTTGAAATTGTGGACTGAACGGCAAAGGTTCAAAGTACTTTCCGGTTGATTAGTTTTAATTCTATTCGGATACGAATGGAACCACTGTGAAACCGGAAACAACGAAGTGGAATTAATGAGATTGCATCAATTCACCATAAAATCGTGAAAAACATCACATAGACACTTAATGGTAGCAATGCAATGAACCTGCAAGTCTGAGATTGTATTCTCTAATCTGAGCTGTAAGTTGTGTTCACCAGAAGATATTTGTCCTACTTAATTTCTGGATTAAAATTTTAATTTCTTATTTTGTTTCTGTAACAACCTGCCTTAAAACGAATTGGTATTTTGGACATTTATTATATCAACATTAAAATATGAATCGGATCATCGTTCAATCTATGTATTTACAAATATAAATATTACAAAAAAAAAATGCATCAATAATTAACTAAAAATTTAAGTAAGATAGGTTTTGATATCGTCCTAGTTAAGTTATTGTATTGTATGTTCTGTTAAGAGTAAACCTCAATTTCTCTCAGTCAGTCGATAAGAGAGCACAGACATTATTAACGACTATACGGCGACGAAAGAATCTCACTCTTGACCTTTGTGTCCTTTAGGAATTTCATCGGCGGAAAATGTAGACTCGAAGGGCCCCAAATGAATTTACGGCCACATTATGGAATAATATTTCTTGGCTTAATATAATGATTGATCGTTTTTGCTATGTCAAAATCGCCACGCTAAGTTAAGTTCATTGCTGTGTTTCATTATGTATGATGAAGTGAAATATTTGGAATATTCTATTCCAATAATCCTGATGAGGAAGTATCTCTATGCTGGCCTGGGAATTCAGGATAAGTCAACGAACTCAGCATCTAAAATTCATAGGCAGTCAGGTTTTATAGCCGGTGCGCCAGTTGCCTTTGTGTCTAGACGCATCGATTGGCTAGCTTCAGTCCCTTACATGGACTTTAGCATAATTGCATTAAGAGTTAACTGTATTGTCTTTGTTGACTCATTGTGCTCCTCGGTAGATCGTACTATTTTTATTTTCTCTGCGAGCTGCGTAATGAGTCATCCGCTACGTTCAGCACGACCAACGCTGAGTCGGTATCCTTAGGTAACCTACTGAAATATCCTTGACATCTTCGAATCTTGTAACGATTGTTTGTTTAGATGTTTTTACGCTTTATGATTTAGTTAATTTTATAGCGCTTTCATATAATTTTAACCTAGGATAAAAATTGTGTCAATTGTTTAAAGACGCTATTCGCCATATAATAAAATTTTAATTACAATAAAATTAGGACTTTGTCTCAAACCTTACACGTACTCTGTTTAATATTTACTATACAAGTGACCCCTTTTTTTAGTATACAGTGCATTCTCGATATAACAAATCGAAGGGAACAATAGATATTTATTATGTAAACTAATTCATTAAACTGAAGTTTGTTATATTGATGTTAAGTTGATCTAAAGTTTATCATAAAGAGGCAAAAATATAGTTTCCTGTCGCGGAATGAATCATGTACTATGCAATTAAGGGTCATATATTGGGAGAACGTTATATAAAGGTTTTGGGTTGACAAATTTCGTTAATTAGAGTATTTAAACTTTTTTGATAGCTAAAAATTCGTTATAAGGAGGTTGTTCGCAAAAAATGTTCGCAATCTAAAGTTATGGACAATTCAAGGAGATTAATTAGATTTTTTTAATCGAGGAAGTCATTATATTAAGTTTGCACTGTATTTAGGCCAACTTGCAGCAAATTCGCTAAATCTCGATTCAAGTAAAACTTGATTTTACCCACAGAAAAATATCAAATTGATATATATTTTTTACATTTTTGTATGGGTTAAATCTAGTTTAAGTTAATTGAGATTTAGCTAAGCTGCAAGTGGACCTTAGTATGGTTTTTGTAGGTGTATCGAGCCTTTTGTCTTATTTATAGAAGTTAAAAAAAGTTGGTTAAGTTTGCACAGCATTAATCTCTTTAAATCGGCTTGGCTCATTTTTCCTTTGGTTTGTTTTTTTTAATTATTTAAAAAATAATACCAATAATGCCCAATTCACCCGCTTCTAGTATTAATGTTGCTTCCTTGTCATATTGCTTTTGCTTTTGGAACCTGTCCAAGCAAAAGACTCTATTACAAAAGGTTTACCGTAAAAACAAGGGTGGATATTTTATATCCATTGTTTGTTCTCTGTCTGATACTACTACTGCTGATATTGCTTTACACTCTGATATTGCTTAAGATCAAGAGAAATTTGTTTTTCATTTATATTTTGTCTAGGATTAAATTCGATGTGCTGTTCTTTCTGATTATAAAAAAAAACAAGTTACGATATCTAAAATTGTTAATGAGTAAAAGCATGGAACGTTATTTAATGTTTGAACTGATAACTATCCAGTTTTCCTCTTATTCTAAAATCATATGATAAAGCTTCATGACGTTGTTCTAAAACGAGACCTAATTTTCCTACCTCTTCCTTCCTCATGCCGTCGGGAAGGGAGGTTGTCGCTCTTGGCTGCTATGGCAACGGATATTTTATGCGCCTCGCGTCGTCCATTTTCCCTCGTGACGGATGAGGGCAGGGGTTCATACGGTTTCAGCAAGGCTGCCTGCCGGTGTCACTAGATTGCCTGCTCACTTTATGATCACAGAGATTCGACTTGTCAATTTGATTTGCTTGGCTTTTGATGTTAATGAAACCGTTCATTATATTTCTTTACCGTAAATCTATTTGATAGCCTTTGAAAATGTTTTAATATTAAACTTTCCCTTTAGATTGTTAGCCCAGGTTCAGACATGGCGGAATACGCGCGGGCTCTAACCACGTGGTTCAATTGCGCGGAGATTAGCATACAGTCATGATACTAAAACTAGGACGTTCATACTACTAATGCGAGCGGACCATATCCAAATTCCAAACCACGCAGTTTACATCCACGCGGAAACCGTCATGTGTGAACTAGCTCTTTGAGAGTGATCCTTCACTATAAACCCAGAAGATTGTTTATTTTATTTAGTAACTAACCTTATTAATGCGCAATGTTCTCTCGCGTGTTCATAGGACGTAGTGGCCGCCTTGACACTTCCCAAGGCTATCCTTATTTATAGTTAGTTACCTACTATATCGTCGTTCCGTTGTACGTGCACATAAGGAAAATTTGAATAATATTGTGTGATGCGAATAGCATGGATAAATAATGCTTTAAACGTATCAACGCATAATCAATATTTTTAATTCTTGTTATTTTGACACAGAAATCAACTTCGAGTTGCCAATGCCTTGCAGTAGCTAGTTCTTCTTCTGCATTGCTTCAGATAAACTATGGAAAACCCATAGATTAATACTATTCTTATAAAAGACTGATGAAGCATTACTGGGTGTGTCCGAATCTTAAACATTAAAATGATTTAATCATGTATATCCAAAAGGACAAAAGCAGATTAAAAACAAAAAAATTGGTGATGTCGTTTTCAATGACGCTTAACATACCTAGCACAATACCAGTTAACTGTATTTTAATATTAATAAGGCTCTGCACAACGCCTAGAATTATAATGTGAAGTTTGATTTACTGTTTTAAAACAAGTGACACAGGAAATTCTAGCCTGTATTCTTTAATAGTTTTTGCACGGATATCATTCCGTCACGTTTACTAGGTTAATAATCGATTTATTTATCGTTTTATGTCACTATTGAATGTCCTACTCAAAAAGAATCTTGATAGGTACTATACAATTAGTCATTTTGTATTTAGATCGATATTGTAGGGTAATTCATCTTTGTAAAATAGAAATTTAGCAACAAGTATAACTGTCGTATCATTATCATTTATTTCTATAATACAATTTAAACACGTCTTTTGATATTGTTAGAATGAGTAGTAATAAAGTAAAAATAAAACAATTGAAATTAAAAGATAAAAATCCTCTGGATATTTGGTTTCATTCCTTAGAGACCACAAATTTTATCTCTACTTACACGTTTCATGAAACGTGTACTTATAAAATACAGATCAAATAATTGTATTATTGAACATTAAACTTAAATTTGTAGTTATTTGACTGAAATTACCTTTAGAATTTACTTTATGAGTAGGATTTGATCGGACCGTCTAATTTTACAGTTTATTGGTTTATGTAACCATAAACCGAAACTGTCTCTTCTACTCAGATTACTTGTTTGGTTTTAAATATTGTAAATAAATGTGACACGTGTTATTTGACCCTAATCGTTTGTATTTAGGAACAGTGCTAATGAGATTCACAGCTTGGAGCTGTTAGCGGTGGTAATGGTGTTTTATTACCTTCTTGCTGCCGTCGATGCTAATGAACTTTTGACTTTAATTTTGCACAATCTATAACGTTAGGATTAAGTACTTGTTATTAGGTTATTGCTTATTAAAATTCTTCATAAATATTTATGATATTTATAGGTACTTTTGTATTCTAAGATCTTGTAAAATTGGAAGTTATTTATGAACTTCATATTATTTATGTTTCCAATTCCGATACAGTCTCATCATCACACATTGGGTTGACGAATACGATTATTTAATTGATTCTACGGTTATATCTTTATATTAAACATGTCCCTTTCGGAGTTGTCAATTTACAAATTTCAATAAAGCAACAAATATCAATCTATGTTTAAGTCAATCATTTCTATTTTGCTCAAAAGTATGTTTAGACATGAATTTTATAGAAACACGGTAATCTGTGCTAATGACAGAAACTCTAAAGATATCCTGGATTAGTTGTTGTTGAATAAAAGTCCTGTATCGGATTAGTTCCCACAGGCCAGGGCCTGTACTCAACCGCATTCCTTCCGTTTCTCACGAGTACTTAACTTAATACCTAAAGCGAATCGTGTGTCCTATCTATATCAACGCTCCCTTTTCTTTCGCAACCATCATGTTCCGTCCTGTTAACTTCTATTGGGTGTAGTTTAATGATTATTTCCTATTGGTACCATGTGTAATGCTCTGCTTTTGTTGTGTGTGTGTTGCATTTACCTGGCTTTTTTAGCCATGCATTTATTTTCAGTTTCATATTTATGTTATATCAATAGGTCATTAATACCTTGTGTATTAAATTTTTAGCGTCTTTGCATATTGATAATATTTATTGGGATCCTTATCGAATAAAATGATGTCATTATAAATAAACATTCAGTTCAATAACCGTATCCGTTTCGGAATTAGTAGGTATTACTTGGTCATTGTTTATTTATTCTTATCTATTGTAGTACGTACAATAATGTATTGTAATACTTTCACGAAAGTGATTAATCAACTTCTAATTTCGTATGTATGGATATCTGCAATATTATTCCATCTAATCAATAAGTTTTTGAAAGATTTCTGGCATACAATCGCTCATCTGATGTCTTACTATCATTTGTAGAGCTGCCAAAAAGATTGCATCTCGAAAATTATACATTTCGTTTTAATAACTTTATAGCTGTACTCAGAGATAATATTGATTTTATCCGAGAGAGAAAAGTAGATCTCTCAGTGCGTACTTTCTCTATTGTCATGTTATTGGCAATTTAGCGCTTTATTAGCTGACATAACTCTTTTGTATTGTTTGAATAGTTTTTAAGTTTATTTGTTGCTCTGTCTGTTTTTTCTTCCCATTATAAAATAATAAGATTCTGTTGTGTTTATATGATAATAACTCTGTGAAATATTAGATTAGTCATGAATAAAAAATATTACATTATGAACTGAACTTTCTCTAGGGAAACGATGCAATGAACTAACGAATTTAATTGTGATTTTATTTGTAAAGTATTGCCTACTTAAAGTTTTAAAAGAGTTTGTCACACCTTTTTTTTTGTAACAATTTGATGAGATGCTATTTACAAACTAGCCTGTGGTTTCTTTATTAGTGTAAAAAAGTGTCCTATAATATGTATGTTCCCCTAAAGAAAAGCTGTTCTTGTATGATTTATTAAACAATTTTGTATTTATATTATGGGTTTAGTGAGATCAGCAAGCGCTCAGACTTTGTGTATTTCAGAGATCTTCATACCGCAATTACATTCGGTCATTAGCCCGTATTCGGGTGCATGAAAGACATTACTCTGGAATATGGGCTGGAAGACGGTGTCGTGTAAACAAAAGGAAATCTATCCGAACACGGGCGTACTCGACTCCGTTCATTTACAATGTGTCGTTTACCCGAATTCCATTGGCACTCGTATTCGGGCTAATGATCAAGCGTAATCGCGCCATCAGTATGTTTCATGAAAGCGGGACTGCAGATAACCTTCTTTTCTATATTGTCTTAAGTTCGGGTCTGAATTGGAACGGGACTGAACCCATGATAGCTCAGAAGCAATGTTTTTATTGATAAAAACTTCAGCGTATAATTTCCCAACTTTTCCTTACCAACAATATTATTATTTGTTCGTTACTTACCTGAATAAGAATTTCGACTACAAAGATTTGCAAACAGAGGAGGCTCTCAATTCGTCTGAATCTCTGTTTTTTTTTGTTGCTAAGTAGAATAGAATTTAATGTGTAAACATCTGAAATCTTATGACATTTGTCCTCTTTTATTTTTATTATCATTACTTAAACCGACTTTCAAAAAACGGAGGAGGTTCTCTATTCGATATCTCTTTTTTTGTTGCTAATACAAAAAGAATTCCGTGTACAAAAAAAAGAAATGCAACCTAATAACAACATTCCTCTTGTTGCAAACAGAAAGAAGATCGAGTCCCTGGGTAGGATGACGGCGATGACGCAGGAGGAGATGGTGGCCGGCGCACGCACTGTGGCCGCCGGGCTCGAGGCTCTCAGGGCGGAGCACGCGCAGCTGCTGGCCGGACTCGCTGCCAACACGGACCACGAGCACGAGAAGGCGTCGCTCGTCAAGAAGAGCATCGACGCCATCGAGCTGGGCATCGGTGAAGCGCAGGTCAGTTCTCGATCGTTACAATTGATTAATATTTAATATCAATAGCGTTAGGATGAAAGGGCAAAGCCCACTTTGTGTGGGAATTTGGCTTAACATGGACAGACATTTTAGCAAGTAAAACTAAACAATGCAAGAAGCTTTAATTACCCAGAACCTTTGAATTATTATAATTTTGTATCAGTATCCTTTAAAACACACCAAATGTCTAAACAAAAAAAAATCAGTATTCTTTTGACAGTTTGAGTGCGTTCCAAACCTAGACTCCAAGTGCAACTTTTCATTTAACGTTTTAATGTTGACATAAATGTATGAAATTCTTATTGGAACGCAGCCCTTGTCAGTAAATGTCATCTTAGATTCGGCCAATCCTAGCCGTTATCGCTGACATGACGTGATGCTAACTTAAATTCAACCAATTACAGCCGTTTTTGATCATGTGATATTAGATAACTAATGGAAGGAAGTAACCGTATTATTTTCATTTAATTTAATTGTGTTATTAATGAAACTCACCATTATATAACGGTTATAGAAATTGGTTAAAAAATAAATAAAATAATATTGTAAAATTGTTGTTTGCCAAGCACCTTGTCCACGATGAGCCTATTTTGAGCATTGCCCTTTTATCATAATCAATGTCGAGGCACTAGTAGATCTACATAAGGAGGACGTGTCATATCCCACCATGCGACGCATACAGATTGGTGGATGCTAAAGACTGCAACAGGAGCCAGGGCCAATGGCTTTACTTCATTTCCAAAGCACCGAGGACTCAGATAATAATTTTACGGTGTCCTAAAGCGTCCACTGTGAGCTTCACCGTGTGATATTTTTTTTATAAATTACACTAGTCAACACGATTTTTGAGTCTGAGTTCTTTGTACCAGATTTTGATTTCTTATACCTAATTCATGTAAGAAACAATATTTTTATTTAAAAAAGTTTGCTTTTGTAGCTATCAGAATGAAATTTTAAATTTCATGGAAAATTGCAAACTTTTTTGTTTAAGTTGTATATAACAAGAAAATAATCATTAATTTATTTATTTACAACTCTTTTATTTACTTTAGACAAATAAACCAAGTATATGAATACAAAAAATATATTGATTTAGTTTCAAAAATTGATATTTTTAGCATATTTTATAATTTTTAGTCTGAAATTTTCTGAAGTAAATAAAATACCATGGAAATTTGGTATATCCTCATGTGACGCCCATATTTTATCCTGACTTCGAATAGAAAGTTATAGTAAGCTTCATATGCTTAATTATACCTTTTACTTACCTTTAATAAACAACATTTTTTGACCCAAAATTTAATAAAATCTCCGGAATTAAATCAAACAGAGTCCACATAGTTTTTACTCATTTTGCCGCTCAAGACTCACAAAATACGTCGTTTCCCTTCAACAAAGAATTTTTTCATGCAACTAACCCTATCATAATATAATGATAGGGTCCATAATATATAACATTATATCATACTCAATATTATAATTCTTTTCTGACACTCTCAATGTGCTGCTGGTAGTGAAGTAAACAAAAATAACTTGGAAATTTTATATATCGTCATGAGGCGTCCATATTTTATCCTGAAGTCAAATAGGAAGTTAAAATTAAGCTTCATATGTTTAATTAAGTCTTTACCTACAGGTTAAACCATTATTATGACTAAATTAAAAAAAAAACTCCGCAAATAAAGCAAACAGGGTCCACGTAGTTTTCACTCATTTTGGAAGGCATTTACCGCTGTAGGCATTTGCAAAATACGTCGTTTCTCTAAAAGGTGTGTACATGCACTGAGTGATTGCTCTACTGCTTCCTATTCCATACCCAATATCCTTCTGCACTCCTTTCTTTTGCTTATTAAAAACGGTAGATCCTCAGCCTTTTCCAAAAGCCATACATATTTATTTATCATTGTATAAAGTACAAAAGCAAACTTTTTAAAATAAAAATGAAGTTTCTCGTTATATTTCGATATAAACAATTAGACAATAGTCATTAAATAACAGACTCAAATTTTTTTTTTCATTTTGTTGACTTGTGTTATGCTTTTTACCGTTTCCCAGTATTTTTTGAAACTGAATATCAAAATATTTTATCAGGATAAAATAAAACAAAAATCTTATCGGGATTCAAAGTTCCGTTCCCCACAGGTATCCCCGACGTAGAGAATCGCTATCGTTGCACCAAACAGTCGACTAAAGTTTATTAAAACATTATTTAGTTTCTTTACAATTGTTGTATTTTTTATATTTATGTATACTCACAGTAATATTTTAACTAGAGATCAGTCTACGTTGAAAGTGTTTTTTTCTCATCTGGGCCTCTCGACTCGACCTTCATTTTCCTATAAGTTATTAGTATAGTACTACTCAAGTTCACGTGTAAACTTACATGAGGCAAGGATAATAAACAAAACGTGATCATGTGTGGTTAACGCCTCGATTACTTCGTCGCATGGGCTGAAAATGTGCTCGGATAAATTACACACAGTATTAAATTATGTATCGACGTTAGATGAAGGCTGTGATTATATAAAGACGCTACACATGACATTTTTCGTATAAGAATCCTGTTCAAAGTCACTCTCTAGAATTTCTCTGTAATATTGTGAGAAAAGCCCCCTAATGTCTTACAAATTTGAACCACAAATGAGGCTATGAGAACCATGGTGGCCTAACTCATTTTTTACAATATTGAGTTAATGATTTTTTCCAGTTCAAATTGATCATTTTGATAGAACCAGAGTGGTCTAAAAGTGATACAACGAATATTCACTAGATGGCAGCATAAACACTGTTACGGTTTTTAGTCTGTGATCTAAATTTGATGTGCCATACTGGCCTAAGTAAGATAGGTCACCATGATTAAAATATGAGTTAGGCCACTATGGTTCTCATGTCCTCAAATGTAGTTGTAAATAAGTTGTATTACCGAAACTTTACACACCAATTTGTGTATATTTTATTTTTAGTAGTCAAACAATTTTGTTTATCGTGATAGAAGTGGAAGTTACAATTAGGGGCTGATATTTAATAAAGTATCAATAATGAATACGTGACTATCAGTGTTTATGATCGTACTTGTGTCGAAAAAAATAAACATTGTCCTAATTTGATAAGTCATTTATTTACTTAAATAATATATAAATAACAATAAATTGTTTGACTATCAATACTCTTCTTGTAGATCGGGAAACAATTAAACCTTGGTCACGCACGCTGCATTATCCAAAAGTTCATTTCCTATGAAAGGTAGTTAAAGCTCGCGGAAAAAATGCCTTCCTCATTGACAAGAGAGACCCTTATTGGTTTTCCGGTATGCCTTATATACGGTTTTTGCAAACGAGTTCTTAATTGTGAGTACTTAACGTTCCTTTACGGCGAACAACTTAGCCCTTTGAGCGTGCGGCTTGCCCTAGATTCTGTCAATGACTACAGGACATTCTTTTAAAGCTTCATTTGGGTCATCTGGCGTCTTTTATTTTTGGCTATAGCTTAAGGGCATTTTTAATAGAACCTAGCTAGCCTACTTTTTCAAAAAAAGAACTCCTAAGATCTACATGTTTAAATGCTATTTTATAGGTCGGCTGTCGCTGTCGATATGAAAAGCAAATAATGTATGCATACATTACTTATTAGTATTTCATAAACATTCACGTTTTTATGTCGATGATCCCCTTCTATGCTAATAATAGTAATAATTTTTAATTTTTAAGCATGTAACTGCTCGATGTTTAAATCTAAAGAATTACTAGAAAAAAATCCATGCGGATTAATAACAGCTTATTCACACAGTAATCGTAAAGAACGTGAAGTAAACAATAATGTAATACTGTTCTTAAATTTTTAGCTTAGCAGTACTACAGAACTTGTTTATTGCAAAGTTTAGCAAACATTTCTCGTTAAGTAAAGAAAGCAAGGGGTGTATGTAAGGGTTGTAACGAAATGTTGGGCGTCGTAATTCGGCCCTTTTTATCCGAGGGCAGCATAAAGAACAACTTTGAGTGGTGCTTGATTATGGCGCCACCCAGGCTACGCTACATAGTATATCTACTTTTCTCTTTTGTGACTTGGATTCTAGTAGCGAGAACAACAGCTAAGTGCTATACTAGAGCTTACGCAAGCACTCATATTCGCAATGCGTATTTTTCAACGCTTGTATGTTTGAAATTAAAAAATATAGTTAATGGTGTTTTCTGAATGACAGAATACAGGATGTCTTTCAAAATGCAAAAAAAAACCAGTAAAGTGGTTGTTTTGTCATAACATTTTAGGCTTAGCAAACAAATGATACTTTAGGTTCGTCATACATGGTATACAATAACATAAGCTAATCGTGTGCCAACTACGCACACAGAAGTAACGCATGGTAAGCTAGAAAACTCAGTAGCAGAGTTACACTAGTATCATCATTGATTGTACACATTTTTTCCTGAGTATTTATTATAGTATGTATATTGTTTCCCAGGTGATGATGACCTTAGCCTCCCACCTCCAGTTGGTGGAGGCGGAGAAACAGAAGCTGCGCACACAAGTCCGCCGGCTGTGCCAGGAGAACGCGTGGCTGCGGGACGAACTCGCGGCTGCTCAACAGCGTCTGCAAGCCTCTGAGCAGAGGGTCGCTCAGTTGGAAGAGGAGAACAAACACCTGCAGTTTATGGCATCTATTCGGTGAGTCCTTCGAAGTTGATAACGGAAGTACGCCTTGTGTTCTAAAGAAAATGCGTGGCTGCGGGACGAACTCGCGGTGGCTCAACAGCGGCTGCAAGCCTGAGAGCAGAAGGTTGCTCAACTGGACGAGGAAAATTAATACACACATGCAGTTTATGGCGTCTATTCGGTGAGTCCTTCGAAGTTGACAACAGAAGTCGGCCACCTTTACCAGAAGAATACAGAGGGGTATAGAGCGCAATAGCGCCTGCAAGCCTCAGAGAAGAGGGAGGAACTGGAGGAGGAACATAAACATCTGGGCTTTATGGCATCTGTTCGGTGAGTTCTTTGGAGCTGTTTACAAACGATCGCCATCTTTAACGGGAGAAAACAGGGCAACAGCGCTTGCAAGGCGGAGGGAAACAAACACCTGTTCTTTATCCATTTGGCGAGTCCATCGATCCTGCTATCTCTACCAAAAGAACGCATGACGTCGGGGTAAATTCGTGGTGACTCAACAGACCCTCAGGTTACGGCGTCGAGACACTTATTAATTAGCGCCTTCAAGATTTAAGCAGAGGGTCTTTCAGCTCGAGGAGGGGAATAAATACCCATGGCGCCTTCGAAGTTGATAACAGCAAGTCCGTGTATCTTTACCAGAAGAACAGGGCAGCAGCGCAACAGCAATTGCATGCCTCAGAGCAGAGAGGCGCTCAGCTGCGGGAGAAAACAAATACCCACAGTTTATGGCGTCCATTCGGAGAATCCTTCGGAGCTGTTAACATAAGTCCGCCATCTTTACCAGAAGAACTCATGGTTCCTGAACTGCCTGCCAACTTCACTAACATTTGTTGTTTGATCTATGCAAACAAAATCTATTTAGCTACGTCGCCGGCGCAGACTTGCTTTTTTTTGAAGAAGGCTTTCAATATGGTCAATGTTAGGCAAATTTTTGCACGAACTCCTCTCATCTGGACTTGACCTTACATGAGATTGGGTGGAGTTATATTGCCTAAAACGAACAGTGGCTGTTTACAGTCGGCGCACCTGCACTATTGGATTTATGTTTCTGCGAATTTTATTCCAAACAGCAAATATAACTACAAATCTGATTTCTTTAAAAGAAACTGCTTATAGGTATGTAACCGCTGACTTTGAATACGTTTCTGTTTACAGCAAATACGACAGTGACGTGACCGAGGAGTCGGAGAGCGGCCGTAGTGGCCAAGGGGAGAGCAAGCGGGACGATCCCATGGTCGATCTGTTCCCAGACGACGACCACGAAGACAACAGAAATAACAAATGTGAGTTATATTTTTTATTTTTTAAGCATTTAACCTCCGTAAAGGACGGACAATCTCCATGGCCAAGTGGTTTGTACGCCGGGTTTCACGGTGTCGCCGACTCGAGAGGTCCCGGGTTGGAATACCGGTGGGGGCAGATGTTTGTGATGAATACGGGCATTTGTACTCCAGTCATGGATGTTTAATATGTATTTCTATATAAATATACTTATATATGTACAGTATATGTATTCTATCTGTTACCCTAGCATCCTATAACAAGCCTTACAGTGCTTACTTTGGGGTTAGGCTAATTGGTGCGAGTGTTGGAAATATTTATTTTATTTTATTTATTTAACTGCTACATATTTAAATCACACTGCCAATTACAAGGTGTGCCTTGCAGCCTAAGAAAGACAAGAGAAAATTCGACACGGCCGTCAGGGCAGCAGTAGCATAATGATCAGTGCATTCGCCCGGATAGCGAAGTGTGCGGGTTCGAGTCCCGTTTGCTGCCTGGTCCGCGTAGTTTTTTTTTCTGGTAAAATTATCTTTAGATTTAAATGTGAGTTAGCTCAACATATTTTTATTTCGGACATTAAACTGCTTTATCTAAAAAGACCGAAACAGAATTTTAAATTGGCTTTTGCAAACGCGTCGCGTGGTTGGGTGAAATCAAAATGTACCTGTTTTTTTATGGTCAGAAACACGTTAGGAACATCCGACGCGACGCGATGCGCACACACTGAAATAGATAATATGCGTTGGGTGGCGCCGCGTTTTAAAAGCCTTTTTCGACCTTAAATCTCATTGATGTATAAAACCTAATAGCCTCCCAATCGCCTAACAAAAGTGCATCCGAAAATGTCCATGCGTCGCTGTGTTATACATATACATCAACTTTTACAGATAACATTAACACATTTGTTCAACTGAACACGTTTTGTCCTGGCAGTAAGGTTCAATGTCAATTGCATACCAGAGAGAAAGAGAGAGTTCGATTACGGGGCTAGAGCAACGATATTAAATACCCTAATTACACCACGTGCGCTCAAAATGTGTCCCAATCCAGAAGTGCTTGAACACCACTCAAGCATTTCTTGGTTCACAGTCACGCGCAGACCGTTGAAAAGTCAAGTTGCCGCCGAGCTCCATGAAAAAAATGCGAAAAAAATACTTATAGCATGTAAAGAGTCGTTTTTTCGACAGGTATTAAATCAATATTTGTTAATTTAACACATTCAAAGCAATATTTTGTTCTAATACTTACTATAAACTGATTTAATAGAAAATATTTGTGATATTCAAATGCATGGTCGGTAATATAGCTGTCTCTTTTCCTCGCGGTCCGTACCTGCTATATTTCTAACAGCGCAATCAGAATTGCGCGTAGAGTCAAAGCAATAAGGTGTATATTCTTCCACATATAGCAATAAGTCGTAAAATTTTACGAGATTGCATTTCGAACTGTCTTAACTCTTTGACGCAAGTGTTTTAATCAAGACCTTATACAGTATGCATTAAAGGTGACTTTCAATGTTTAATTAATGCCTTATATTGTTTTTGACTACGCGATCGGCGCGCCGTGGATCGTTCAATGTACCTTTTGGACAGGTTTCGGGCACGACTTTGTTCGTGTTGGTGTATCTACGGTATTTAATATCGTTGTGTTAGAGAGACATACACGAGCATGAGACACACGGGCCGCAAAATAAGGGGAGATATTTTGCTTTTACTTAAAATATAATTAATTAGCAGTACTATAAAAAATGCCCTTAATAGTCACGTAATTAAGTTAGGTCAAAATGGCAACTGAAATACGATACTCGTTTTTAAGTGTAGATCTGGTGTCATTTATCCAGTTTTGTTGCGTAGCGTTGTAATCACAGCGCGGTCGAAGCGCGTTTGTGATTCTACTTGTTTTCTATACGTCAATGATATATCTATAGAAAAATTTACTAGGAAAATATGCACGCGGTCCAGTTTTTCGACTTCATAGCGGAAGTAGCTGTTTCGATAACAGCCTAACATTTTAACCGAGAGGATTCTTTACTATTAAATTTTGTTTGTTCATAAAAATGTAGCAATATCAATAAATCAGCACTTGGCAAATGTTAGTGCAGCCAACTACAATCTGGGCAATGACTTAAAATCTTATGCCTGCAATTCAATTGACCATCTGTGTTTGCAATTTGTAACCTTGACATATTTGTCGTGTTTACAAATAGCAAACACAAATAGTTAAGTGAAGTACCTGGGATGACTTTATACTTTTCTGATTTACTTAAAAATATCTTAAATAATGAAAAATCATCTTTCCACCAGCAATGTCACCAACCCCCCAATCACAATTCGCTCAGCAAGTGAACGCTGGCTACGAGATTCCGGCCAGACTTCGGACTTTACACAACTTGGTCATCCAATACGCATCTCAGGGGCGATATGAAGTAGCCGTTCCTCTATGTAAGCAAGCGTTAGAAGATCTGGAGAAAACCTCGGGCCACGACCACCCCGATGTGGCCACCATGCTCAATATATTGGCTCTGGTTTATAGGTGAGTATAAATAAGTATAAATTTTCCTTTTGTCGTGCAAGCCTTAGAAGATCTGGAAAAACCTCGGGCTCAATGTATTGGCTTTGGTTAACAGGCAAATCGCTATGAAGAAAGCTCAGTTCCTTTGAAATTTTATTTCCGTGATAGCCGCACTACATTTGATGGTATTGTCTTTCTGTCGGTGCTAGGTCTACACTGACTAGGAATTGAAGTCAGAATACGTTCCTATCACCACACAGTTCTTTTAGTTGAACAGAAATAGAAAAGCCACTACACTTTTAAGTAGCAACGACATGCTATGTCGTAAGCGTAAGTGTCAACACACGTTTTTTTGTATCATATCCTTCAAAACAATAATTTTGAAATATCTTGATCTATAAATATGCTTAAACATAAAGTTAAGATTTGACTCCCAAACTAATAGTCCCAAAGTAATAGCTGCATCTCGGAAGCCAGTGGTGTCGATTCTGGCGTGATTCTCTAAACTTAAAACTAAATTTAACATTAGTCTCTTATCAGTCTTTTATTCTGTATAGAGAATGAAAAGGATGCACTGCTGTCAAATATAAGTTTAGCTTTAGAGAATCATGCCAGAATCGCCATCAGTGTCTCCTTATAAATAATGAGTAATATATGTACAATATGAATAAAAAAACTACCTTAATGAGTGTATGATGATAGATCACGATGGCGCAGGTGGCAGGCGTTTTTTGTTTGTCTATCGGGTAGATTATCAAAAAGTAACGGACATGTATTTTTTCTTTTTTCTCATAATCAAAAATATTACAGATACATTGATTTAAAATGTCGCTTGACTCACATCTTTGTACAATTTTACCTACCAGTGACGTCATGAGCCCCCAATTCCAAACTTTGAGGTGCTTTATCTTTGTAATTTTTGTTTGATTGACAAAAGAGAAATTGGTGTCAGCTATTTTCGAAATTGTAACTGATGGACTAAATAAAGTTTCTTTTACTATACCCCGTCGTACCCCCTATTCTATCCATAGGGTAGTCTGGTGCCCCAGTAGTGGGGACATTAATAGGCTAATGATGATGATGATGCATTACAATATTATTCATCTAATATATAAAATTCTCGTGTCACGGTGTGCGTAATTGAACTACTTCGAAATGGCTCGACCGATTTTCGTGAATTTTTATATGCATATTCAGTAGGTCTGAGAATCAGACAATATCTATTTTTCATCCCCCTAAATGTTAAGGGTGGTCCACCCTTAATTTGTTTTTTTTTTGGACAAAATTTTTTCTTTTTATTTTTCATTTTATATCCTTCTACTACCAACTCCTATTTCTAAAGGCGGTACTAAGTTCGCTGGGACAGCTAGTAATATATAAGTAAACTTATTTTTAACAGGGACCAGAATAAATACAAGGAAGCGGCTAACCTATTGAACGATGCTTTATCCATCCGAGAGAAAACGCTGGGAGAGAATCATCCCGCCGTCGCTGCGACCCTCAACAACCTGGCTGTGCTTTATGGCAAACGAGGTAAACTAGCCTTTTATAATTGTGATCCATAGGGTGGGACGTATTGTAATAACCTTTTATAACAAGTTTAAAAATGCACTTGTGATCCACAGGATGGGCCGTATTGTGATAGCCTTTTATAACAAGTTTAAAAATGCACTTGTGACCCATTCGTCAAACTTATTGGACGATGGTACCAGTTGATGTGCCTGTGATTGGTCTCCGACGGCCAATTCGAAGCAAATTAGAAATATTTACGGAAATAATGTGAATTAACTTCTCTCTATTTTGTTTTTCACCTCTCGATTTTCTTGTATACCTTCTTTTATCTTTACTATCCTTCTATGCTTTCTTTTTTCGACTTCTGCCTGCGCCCCTGGCTGTATGAAATAGCAGCCTCGAGTACGGACAGTATATTGTCACAAACGCTCTTGAAACGGAACCGCGAAAGTGCTAGAGATCGAATTTGCCAGAGCACCGCGGGTCGCGATAGAGGTCGAGTAATGCGGCTCATTCTCAAATGAGCCTTATGCAGTGCGGCGTAAGGGAGAAAGTGCAACGACATCTGCAATTGCTTACAAGTTATGCGCGCTATCTGCGTAGGTATAAGTAGGTACTTTGTACTCACGGGTGCTAGCTAATTCTCAATTTAACAGGTACTTTCTAGAATGCGTCGATCGGCGTATATAAGCGCGATTGGCGCCGCGCAGAGACAGTTGAGTTTCAACAGCGATTTCGGAGCGAATCCAAAGGCGATCAAAGTGCAACAAAAGTGTTCAAGTGGTGCGATTGTTTATAGACTTGTATAGTGAAATACAGTGTTTAGTGAGTGTTTTGTAATTAACATTGTGTGTTAATTGTGTGAACTGTGTGGTGAATAAAGAACTGTCAAGCGTGAACTGGCATATAATTTCGGATTCCATCCCGACACGTAACAACTGGTGACAGAAGCGACATGCCAATCACACCGCGCGACGGAAGTGAAGGCTTACGCACTCGACGGCAGGCCGTAATGGACCATTCGCGGGAGTCGGAAGCAGCGGCGCTTGATGAAGAAACTAGCACACCACAGGCTGCTCACCACAGTGGTGTTACCACTACTGCCACGCCGCCTACGCTCGACTTGTCGACATTGATGGCAGCTGTACAGTCTATTCGCGAGGACGTCAAGGCGAGTCAACTCCAAGCTATCGAGGACGTCAAGGAGAGTCGACGACAAGCGCTCAAGGATGTCAAGGAGGACGTGAAGGTTGCTATTGACTCGAAATTTGAAACATTCAAAACAACTGTGTGCGGCCTCCAAGACGAAATAGAATGCGTAAAGAGTCGTACCAGCAAACACCAGGAGACCCTAGACAAACACCAGGAGAGCATAGGCGAATGCAAGAAGACTCTACAGGTCCATGAGAAAATGGTAAGAGACCTTCAAAAAACCAAGGTCATGAGTACCGCCATAGCAACCACGGGTATCATGGCACCTAAATTTAAAGTACCGGCGTTTGATGATACAACTTCTTGGACGGCATTCAGACACCAATTTGAAGTCGTAGCCAAAGAGAACGGCTGAGAGGACGAACATGCCCTGACCGCACTCACTCTTGCGCTCAGGGGGGATGCTCTTCTGATATTTGATAATGTACCAGCCGATCAACGAAGTTTGGAAACTCTCCTCAAAGCTCTGGAGGCACGTTACGGGGATAAACACCTAGAACATGTGTATCGAGCGCAACTAAAGGAACGGTCACAGAAACCAGGAGAAGGATTGCAGCAGTGGGCCACGGAGATTGAACGACTGGTACGTCGCGCTTATGCGTCCAGTAAGACATCCATAGAAGACATTGTAGTTCAAGCTAGGTTTTATCCGTGCGGTGACGGAGAAAGAATACCACTCACCGCCCCTTCACTTCCCGCGGGTGTCGTAAGAAGCGACTGAGGGATATCAGAGCTTCCATCTGCTCTTCTGGTGGTAGGGTGCCTAACACCCGCCTGGTTTGTTACCACCGTACGCATGGTGAAAAACCCGTGAAGTGCTTCACGCGCGTTTCGGGATCAGCCAGCGTACAACCAGAGCTCGAGTGGAGATTGCCGCGACAGATTCGGTCCAGTGGAGGCATCCGTCGAACCGATGCCGGGAGGACTGCATCGACCCACCGGCCAGGGAGACCCGTAGAAACGGCTGTCCCGCTGGCCGCCCGTGGCACAGTACAGGGGCCCGAGCGTTCCTAACCAGTTCGTGAGGCTGCCCTATCATGTCACGCATAATCTCGGGGTGGACCGTCGTGCCGGTTGGTGACCGGGGCGTGGGGTCCCGGCGGCCACTCCCGGGAGGGTGCGGGGGCCCTTCCGTCCGTTGGGTCGGCGTATCTCTTTCGCAGGCAGTTACTCGGGAAAACGTGCCTCCATATATTTGCCTGTCTTTGTCGCGACTAACTCCACTCGATTCACGTCTCTCAACTTTTTTCTCATGATGGCAGCCCGTAAAATAAAGTTTGGTTGTACAGCGCTGCACACCCCCACGCCTTCCGCGCTGTTTGAGGTTGAGTTCTGTAATATACGCGGTCTCCACTCTAACCTCAATGCTGTCCACCACCATCTTGAGACAGCACGGCCAGCACTATTGTTTCTCACGGAGACACAAATACTTCCGCCCGCTGACACAGGCTACCTTAAATATCCCGGCTACGCGCTTGAAAAATCCTTCAAAGCAAAAGCCGGCGTATGCCTGTATGTTCGGGCGGATGTTTGTTGTCGCCGTTTGAGCTGCCTGGAAGACCCCTCCTTTTCCATGTTGGCGGTACATGTAGACTCTGGTCTTCAGGCCAGAGTCTACGTGTGCCTCTACAGATCTCATACCGGCGACGCTGAGACAACTCGACTGTTTGACCACCTCAGTAGGCAGATGATGCCCAGGCGCAATTTCCCAACGCAGAACTGGTGTTTTTGGGAGACTTTAACGCCCACCACGGTTTGTGGCTTGGCTCTTCCAAAACTGACCATGCAGGGATCTCTGCCCATGCTTTCGCTTTCACGCATGACTTGATCCAACTGGTTGATCAGCCCACCAGGATCCCAGATATAGCAAGTCAAGCGCCTTCTTTACTAGACCTTCTGCTTACGACCCATCCGCAGGAGTATCAGGTCGTGGTTCGAGCCCCGCTGGGTTCATCAGACCATTGCCTGATATCTGTCAAGGTGCCACAGGCCAAAACCCCTCGACCATTAGTGGTCAAACGCAGGGTCTAGCACTATGGGTCGGCAGATTGGGATGGTATGCGCGATTACTTTGCGTCCGTCCCTTGGAAGCAGCGCTGCTTCAATGAAAAGGACCTATCATCCAGCGCCGTTGCCATTACTGAGGAGATCGTAATGGGAATGGAGTATTACATTCCACATTCTGATCTCATCAGTAAGGGCACACGTAACCGCTGGTTCAATCGCGATTGTGCCGATGCTGTTTCTCGTAAGCAGGCGGCATATCGCGCTTGGATCAGAGGCCGCGCTCTTAAGGATCCCGGGGTTAACTCACTGAAAGCTGCCTATAATAGTGCTTCCAAGTCTTGTAAGAAGGCTTACATCAGAGCGGATGCCCAACGTGTAGCACGTACTGGCCACGAATTGTTAACGCACCCTACGGGCTCCCGTAGTTTTTGGCGTTTGGCTAAGGCCGTGCAACACAACTTTTGCCAGCCCTCGCTGCCACCTCTGCGATGTCCAGATGGGTCACTAGCTCATGAGCCGCAAGAGAAAGCCGATTTGTTGGCAAAGCTCTTTGCGGCTAACTCCCGAATCAGTGATTGCAATGCACTGCCACCTACACTACCTCATTGTGGCACTACGATGCCTGACATTAAAATCAGGCAGCGTGATGTTCGTGCGGAGTTGCAATCACTCGACGTCCGGAAAGCTAGTGGACCTGATGGCATCCCAGCAGTTGTTCTTAAACATTGTGCAGCGGAGTTGTCTCCCGTGCTTACGCGCCTGTACCAACTCTCTTACTCTTTGGGGCGTGTGCCGGAAGCTTGGAGAGACGCCAATGTGCAGCCGGTGCCCAAAAAAGGGGACCGCTCAGACCCGGCCAACTATCGGCTGATAGCTGTCACCTCAGTGTTGTGTAAAGTCTTAGAAAGGGTCCTTAACAACCATCTGACCCGCTACCTAGAAGATTACTCTCTGATTCACGATCGTCAATACGAATTTAGACCGAATCGATCGACGGGTGACCTTCTAGCGTACGTGACACATATGGGGTGAAGCTATAGACAAGCGGGGAGAGTCTCTGGCTATTAGCCTTGACATCGCCAAGGCTTTTGACAGGGTCTGGCACAAAAGCCTTCTCTCCAAGCTGCCCGCATACGGTCTGCCTGCTCAGCTCTGCGCCTGGGTAGCTGACTTCCTGCATTAGCGTAGAATTCGCGTCCTTACGGACGGATGTAGTTCACAGTTCATGTCAGTGAATGCCGGTGTTCCTTAGGGCTCCGTTCTATCCCCCACACTCTTTCTGCTGCATATCAATGATTTGATTCCACTTGCGAATATTCATTGCTATGCAGACGATAGCACAGTGCATGCGAGATACTTTGGACACGCGGCGGCTGGAAAGGTAGAAACCATGGAGAAACGGGAGAATCTTGTCGTTGAGCTCAATCGGGCTTTGGACCACATTTCCGAATGGGGTACCAGGAACTTGGTTGAGTTCAATGCCAAGAAAACTCAGGCTTGCGCTTTCACGGCAAAAACATCGCCATTCCTTCCCCTTCCCTCTCTTCAGGGCACAACACTGGCGCTACAAAGCTATATTACCATGCTCGGTATGGAGGTTCGCTCAGACCTGAATCCAAAGGACTACATCGATACCTTGATCAAAGCAGCTTCACGAAAACTCGGAGTCCTGAACAAGGTGCGGCGTTTTTTCACGCCCGATCAACTGTGCTTGTTGTACAAAACGCAAGTGCGGTCCTGCGTGGAATATTGCTCGCACCTCTGGGATGGCTCCGCTAAGTACTTACTCGATGCCTTGGATAGGTTGCAGCGGCGCGCTGCCCGCATCATTGGCGATGAAGAGGTAACTAAGAAACTCGAGTCTCTACAATTACGCCGTGATGTGGCATCATTAAGCGCATTCTACCGACTATACCACGGCGAGTGTTCTGAGGAGCTATTCTCGCTTATCCCTCCACCTTTTCTTCAGAGGACCACGTGCGCTGGCTTACGTTGCCACCGACTTACTGTGGCCACTACTCCTACACGAACAAAGAAATTTGGCGACTCATTTCTTTGTCGTACTATTCGTAAGTGGAGTTCTATGCCCGCGCACGTGTTCCCTCCTTCCTATAATCTGGGGTCCTATAAGAGAGGCGGCAAGAAGCATTTTTGCGGGCAAGGTGAGGAATGTTGGTGTAACAGTTTATAACTGCTGTACCAGCTATCTTCGCGTTTGGACTTTATCACCACTTAACATCAGGTGGGGTAGAGTCATTTGCCTACCTAATCATATAAAAAAAAAAGCTTTTGTGGATGTTATAAGAGAACACGAAGTAAGAGCGGCCGTGCGTTTGGGACATCATACGACATTGGAAACCGTTTTAACACACGCGCTGGAGGTAGAGACGGTACGGAGTGACTACAAGACGCACAGAGTGCGAGAAGTTGTGGCAACAGTCAAGCCTCGAGGTGGACCGATATGCTATGGATGTGGAGAACGAGGACAATTCAGGATTAACTAACTGTCCGGTCCAGCGGAGAAACCGGACAATGTCAACCGCTACTCAGGTTGATTGTAGCGTGGACTCGGTTGCAGAGCGGGCACGAGCTGGACGTTTTTTAGCCCCCACAGTACGAGTGTCACAGGCATGTGATGGTAATAGTCTCGTAGCCGCAGGAGAAATAAACGGCAAGCCTGCACAACTTACAATTGACACTGGGGCATCTAAAGCTATCGTGCGCCCGGAACTTCTCAAGCGTACAATTATGTGGGGAGGTACAAAATCGGCGTGTCAATTGCAAACAGCTACAGGTCAGCCAGTGACCGTCCTGGGAGTGACAGACATCACATTGAAATTAAGAGACAAGATCTACAGACAAAGCGTCTTGGTCGCTAACATAACGGACGACTGTATACTCGGACTGGACTTCTTACGATCACAGCAGTGTGTGGTGGATATCGCTAGAGGAGTATTGAATTTTCCGGATCAAGAAATATTTCTAGAAGGAAAGCCTCCACCAGTAGTCTACAACGCCAGAATGGTTACCCTACCAGCGAAGTCAGAGACATTGGTAGAAGTGAAGTTTCCGGAAGGGGCGTTACCGAATCGATGTGTCGTGGTAGAAGAGACCGGGAGTCACCCTAGTTGGATCATGGCAGCAATGATGCTCGGGACGAGCATGTCTAAGAGGGGGGCAGTGTCACAAACGCTCTTGAAACGGAACCGCGAAAGTGCTAGAGATCGAATTTGCCAGAGCACCGCGGGTCGCGATAGAGGTCGAGTAATGCGGCTCATTCTCAAATGAGCCTTATGCAGTGCGGCGTAAGGGAGAAAGTGCAACGACATCTGCACTTGTTTACAAGTTATGCGCGCTATCTGCGTAGGTATAAGTAGATACTTTGTACTCACGGGTGCTAGCTAATTCTCAATTTAACAGGTACTTTCTAGAATGCGTCGATCGGCGTATATAAGCGCGATTGGCGCCGCGCAGAGACAGTTGAGTTTCAACAGCGATTTCGGAGCGAATCCAAAGGCGATCAAAGTGCAACAAAAGTGTTCAAGTGCGATTGTTTAGAGACTTGTATAGTGAAATACAGTGTTTAGTGAGTGTTTTGTAATTAACATTGTGTATTAATTGTGTGAACTGTGTGGTGAATAAAGAACTGTCAAGCGTGAACTGGCATATAATTTCGAACCCCATCCCAACAAACAATATTATTAAACACGTTGAAATTTGAATAAGAATAACCTAGTTAAGGGAAAAATTGTAAAATAATTGAATAAAAATATAATGAAAAAAAATATAGCTAGCTATAAAGTAAAAATATAATTCAGTAACGCATGCCTTTGTAAGGCTTCTGCCGTCCCTCGGAGTTATTGCAGCTTGACTTGGTTATTGTTTGACAAAAAACTAGAATTTATTATAGCCACTTATTTTTCTACTAATAATTATACAGCCTTACTAATAAAGATAATTGCTAGCGTATACATCTGTTATAAACGTGTTGCAAGCCATCGGGTTACCAATAAAAACTTCTTTGAGGCAAGGATTGTATACATTTTTTTTACTGTAGAACAATAGTTACGCATTGCTTAATTCATTCGGGCACCCTAGTATAATTATTGTGTAAGTCTTGTCCAGTTACATTTCTGGATTAGTTTATTTTTCAACTTAGTTGACAGACAGTCCTTTACGTGTTTTTTTGTTATTTTTCTTTGTTTGCTCAGTGAGAGTCCCAAGTGGGAATTCAAGTTACGAGACAACGAAAAATACCTATATAGACGTCGTATTGATTCCTTTCTCTCGAATGGAAACGATTTTAAATACAATAAATCATCAAAGAATATTTACAAAAACTTAAAAAACTATATTAAGCAAGACTAGGAGTGTTGATTTACATAAGCCCAGATTCTAACAAGAAATACAATAGAAAGATACTTTGAGTTTTGGAAATAAAGACTCTGTTGTCTATAAGTCGGTTCACAGTATCACTAGAAAATGTGAAACTGTATATAATTGTATTGGCAGCTTTGCATAACATAGCAGTGGGCATTATATAGAATAGTAGCGCGGAAAGTAAACAACCAAATGTTATTTATGTATGTAAACTCAGCACAGGATCATTTACAAGGATGACATTCGTTTAGAAGTTTCCATTTAGTTTCAGTAGTAAATAGTATTATTCAACTTAAATGCTATCCATTACATAACATGAAATCATATCCGAAATTGACAAAACATAAATAAAACCAAGTACTTTCTTTATTTTTCCTAATTAAATGTTATCATTTGCAGTTTTATATATACATTACAAAAATAGTGACACTATGGTGTCTGAACGTAACTTACAAATATTGCCATTGAAAAATTTCCATGCTTAACAGATAATATGTAACTATTCGGAGGTAGGTTATTGGTAGGGATAATGTATAACGTGCGTATAACTTAACATATGGTTTAATCATTAGTTAAACAACTGTTTACACATTTTTATTAGTAAGGCTAATAATTTTTAATTACTTAATTATTGATTGGGAAATGGCAACTTGATTTTTGAACTGTTTGTTGCCAAATCATCAAATATATTGTATTCAATAGGTAAGCAGTGATCATTATTTTGTTCGTATCTCATTCTATTAGATATTTATTGGTAATTTTATTTTAAGTAGAATCGAGCATAAATTGATATTATATTTTAACTACGATTTCACGAATATCATGCATGGCTGGACTGATTTACATTTGATATAGTGACTGAGTTGACATTTTGAGCTTCTACAGACTAAAAATATGGCGTGACTTATGATATAGGTCGCTAGAACCCTTACGAAATGTTATTACTTTTGAACCGTCTCCTTTTACACTTTGTTGTCATTTGATATGTTGCTGACTGTAAACACACTACAATTATATTAACCAATAACGTTGCTGACTGTAAACACACTACAACTATATTAACCTATAACATTGAAAAAAAAAACAAGTGTGCTAATGACCACACGACTGCAGTGAAACTTCTATAGCTCGATCTGTATATGTGTGTGTGTTCAATATAAACATGTTTCATAACACATAACCTACATATTTCATTTACTAGCTTTATGAGAAAGAAAATGTGCGCGCACTGTTTTCTCTTGCTTTTATCCCCCACTCAACTCTCATTTGCCTCGGCCAGTCATACTTTTCGTAACGCGTAACGCATTCGCCAGGTTACCCCCCAAGGCAAGCGAGCGTAAAGAAGTTTCACTTCAAAATTCGTTTTAAATAGCTTATGTTCATTCAGGCAAATACCGCGAGGCCGAGCCGCTATGCAAGCGTGCGTTGTGCATCCGAGAAGCTGTTTTAGGCCGCGACCACCCCGATGTCGCCAAACAACTGAACAATCTAGCGCTGCTCTGTCAGAATCAGGTCAGTATGCACAGTTTCATCATCATTACCATCAGCCTATTAATGTTTCTACTGCTGAGGCACAGGCCTTCCCTATGAATGGAATAGGGAGATTGGGCCATGACCCTCCACGCGGGCCCAGTGCGGATTGGTGGGTGCTGACGAATGCAGATGCAGCCGGGACCAACGGCTTAACGTGCTTTCCGAAGCACGAAGGAACTCGAGATAGAAGATTTTTTGTCACCCACCCAATGACCGACCACTGCGAAAGTTGCTTAACTTCAATGATCGCAGCCGAACGCGCTAACCACTCGCGCCATCGAGCTCCTTCACCAAAAGGTAGTGTTATTATACTGTGGTCTTCAGTAAGGTGCAGGTTACTTCTCCAGACGGACGCTCCAATTCCTTAAATGATGAATGATGTTATTTTTCAACAGAATAAATATGAAGAAGTGGAGCAGTATTATCAGCGTGCGCTAGAGATTTATGAGAGTAAACTCGGCCCCGACGATCCCAACGTCGCCAAGACGAAGAACAACCTCGCCTCTTGCTATCTAAAACAGGTATGTTAGGAATGAATAAAATAAATAAAACCGGCCAAGTGCGAGTCGAACTCGCGCACGAAGGGTTCCGTACTATAAAGTACGAAACCCAACAACATGAGACACTATAATATAATATTGAGCAAAAAACGCCAATCACATATGTTATACGGGAGCCGCCGTTAAATAATATTTCTTTAGTATTTGTTGTTATAACGGCAACAGAAATACATCATCTGTGAATTTTTTAACTGTCTAGCTATCACGGTTTATGAGAAACTGATGACAGATAGACAGACGGACAGTAAAGTGTCAGTAATAGGGCTCCGTTTTTACCCTTTGGAAACAGAAACCTAATAAAGCAAACGGGAGTGTCGTTGAACCCTCGGTTAGAACGAAGTTAAAAATAAACATAAGTTTACGTATGTACACAACTACACACAATACGCTACGAAAAAACTGACGGTGGTGACGGAATAATAGTTTACATCCCGATAAAAAATATTCAACATCAAAAAATAGTACATATTATGTGTCTAAAAAAAATTAATAACTGCCACCTGGCAAGGGCATTTTAATCGCTCGCTATTTTGGAACACTTTATGTGACGTCATAGTCCATAGGAACATAACAAGTATGTCTACTTGTTACAAGTATGACAGTTTAGCTGCGCGCACACTACGCAATCGCACTAGACCTCGTTGATTTTGAGTAACCTATGTGTGTTGTTATGGATTTCTACGTGACAACAGCTTTGTCGCGTTTGAAATATATAGATTTCCCACAAGTTTTTGCACTTTCAATAATTAATTGCTTACTCAAAAACAAATTTTATTAAAAAATATTGATGGAGGGACAATTTAAAAGTATAATGTAAAAATAGCCGTATTTGAATAACGTGCATATTCTCTGCTAGCTTGAGAAAAATGTAATAAATATTACGATCTAACCAACGAACTAACTAAAAATTGCTATCAACTAGATAGCAATTTTTAGTTAGTTTGTTGGTTATATAATTTATATGCGGTAGAAGTAGGAGCGAGAGGTAGGGATACCACCAAAAGTTCTATAACCTTCGAAAAGACTTAGGCCGTCGAGAACTTCAGTAAGTTCAAATTTTGGCACTAAGAGGCTCCTATCAAATGCTAGCAAGGGAGGGCAACTCGAGCAATGAGAGTGAGCGTTGATGCGCATCTCAAAGGGGGCCTTCTTAAACCTACACCTGGGTTGCAAGTCTCGGGAACTGCTCAGAGTTTTTCACTTTCCCACACGATAGACCCGGCGCCCACACGGGGATCGTCACATCGGGATAACTCGTCATTATTGTTACCAGACATTTTGCAGTGTAACTAGTATAAAATGAAGCGTAGTTTTTATTCCATATTTTAACAGCGTCATGTTTCATTATCGCGACAAAATATATCCTTCTTCAAGGTTTACTTTATCACAATACCAAAGTTGGTCAAAATTACATCAGAAGCTTAAGCGTCAGTGTGTAACAGGACTTTCGCGTTTATAATAAAAGAACGCATTTATATTTTACTGTTTGTATTATTGTAGATGTTCTGCCGATCCGGTGTGTACTGTGTGCCCTTTTCATCGGACACAGTATCTTTATTCGAATAAACTTTTTTGTAATTTTATGTTGTTTTCCAAATGGACACAATTGAGATAAAACCTCTGAAATCTATTAAAATTACCTGCCATAATTAGATGTACATATTATTATGCCTTTGTTATTTCAAGCTTCTAAAATCTTCAATGTTAATTAATCAACTATGATATACTCCATCCAATAAGTTACAAAAGGTTTATCATACAGAAAATATTGCATCTTCATTATTGCTTCGTTTCTAGGGCAAGTACAAAGAAGCAGAAACACTGTACAAACAGGTGCTAACACGAGCTCACGAAAGGGAATTCGGAACCATCGACGGTAAGTGAAGCTTCGGATTATGTACTTTGTATTATGTAAATATATCCCTTATTTATACTCCATCAGGGATCGGAATAGGAATGAGAGTGAGTTTTGAGTTGAAGTTCCGTTTTAGCATTAATGTGTGTTCCCATGCATCGATTGGTCCTTCGAGTTGGATTATTATATATTTTTATTTGACACAAAAATATAAAGAAATCCGATTAATATGTCTAGATTTGTTTTGTTGACCTGTGGTATCTGAAGCATTTCACTGCATTTATTTTATTTTTAAATAAGGTTATAATACCCTGTTCCAATCCCCGATGAATTAAATATGTATTATATTGAAACTATTTTAACATAACTAATGGAAAATATCAGTTTAACATAATATTTTAACTGGTTGAGGGTGTAAGCCAAAAATAGATAGTTAAATCTAACCCAACCGACTTGGTTTATTGTACAATTAATTTCTTTATTTTTGTTATTATATTTAATTTACTCCCGATCATCATTTTTCTGTTTACCGTTTCAGAGTATATAGCGTCATTAAAAAACCCCAAAAAATAACAAACACCCCGCACCTACTATATTATTTAAGTCTTCAAATGAAGAGATGCAGTTACTACATTCCTTTTCCGTAACTTCAGTAACAGTTGCTAAAATTTGCTCAAAAAATGTGCATTCATATTAATGTTAATCAAAGAAGGAAATGCCAAACGTCGAATGTTCTTTGTAATGTAAATTTTATTTTTATATTATCAAAAGTAAATATAAATATGCTGTATTTTGGCTTGTGGAAAAATAAATAAGTAATGATATGATTGAATAAGGAACTGTGAAAGCGAAATGAAAGATTTTATCAGCCAGTACGAAGAAGGCCTAAAAATTTACTTTTACATTTATGTGATATATTTAATCGGCCAACACATAAAAGAATCATATAAAATTCTTAAAAACCTCTTAAGTGATAGCAATGATATTTGTTTGACATTCAATTTGCTAAAATTAATGGTGGCGGCATTCTATGTTTATAATGGTGTCAATTCTGACATGATTCTCTAAACTTAAAACTAAATTTAACATCATCTCCTTTTCATTCTGTGTAGAGAATGACAAGGATACACTGTTGTCAAATTTACGTGCAGCTTTAGAAAATCATGCCAGATTCGACACCAATGACGACCTAAGCACAAATTCCGAAATAGGTTTTTTATAATTATTATTTTGTTAGCATTTATATTCTTTTACAGTTTCTTTTATGAGTTTAAACATTGAAAATGGTTTTGTAAGAAAAAACTACACTTTTTTTTTCATTTTTAACAATATTTTTAGTTTTATGCTGCTTAGTTTATCTTCTTAATGTAAACAAAAAACACAAAAAAAAATGCAGCGGCAGTGCGCAAAAGAATATATTACTTTTTCCAAAAAAATGAGATATGTATACGAAAATCATAATGAGACCTAACCCATGGAATAGTCGTATGTTTTCCATAACCGAATAATAATATATCTTTTTACATAGTGTAGTGATTAATGGCAACTTAAAGTGCAATATTTATAATAAGCATCATAATTTGTAATTAATTAATCAATAGTTGTTTAGGTCATAATATGTATGACATTTTTAACTGGGCATGTCTAGTTCCAATCTTTGTTTAGTTGAGTAAAGAGAAAATATATTTGAATAAAGATATTTTTACAGCGCAATCTGTGATTAAAGTGTTTAAATTAATTGGCATCTATTGTGGCGTGATATTTATTCATAAGATCATCAGTATTTTGTTATAATTTTCATTGGCACCGTAAAGTTGGTGGTTTAAATAAGCGCATGTGTTCTATTTATTTATTTATTTCGTTATATAATAATTTGGGACTTAAATATTGTAATGAAATTTAAATTAATAGGTGAGACGGAATCCTGAAAATTTATAGGACCCTGCGCCTCTAAAGTGACCAAAATCAAGGTTCCGCAAGTGTGATTCAAATTCTATGTTTTGTAAATTTTCAACCGAGTGCCGGGTGTCAGTGTTTTAGACAGATGAACTTATAATATGAAAAATTTCCTGTTCATAACGTGTTCGTCCCTTAAAATAAAGTATTTAAAAAGGTTTTTTAATATCCTATGAACCTGAAAAATACGTATAGTTACGTCCTAAACCCACAAAATAGACAATACAGAAGGTAATCTCGTGTATGTACTTCAGTTTACATACCTACACTCAGCGGTCGCGTTAGGATTGTCAACATTGGCTTATGCACAAAACACTGTCGCGGCAGTGGCACTCGTGTCTAGTTCTTTGATTTAATTTTAATGTTATTTTTTAAATGCAAAATTAAAAAAAATGACAATTCATCGTTTAATGTTGAATTAAAACAACCGCCTACTGAACAGATATAATAAATAGTATTTTATTGCTCCATTTTGCACAAAACTATAGACGCATATTTCGAGCGGAAGAAACTCGCGCTCGCAGTGGTCTGAGCTAGTTCGACATTGTGTGCTTGAGCGGTGTCTTTGTGTGCGTTGCTCGATCGTACATCGTATGTAGATTACCTTATGTAATGTCTAGTTTTTGCTTAAACTCGGCAAGTTTCGATTTGCGACTCCTCTCGAATACTATTTGCGATACCTTCTTGAGTTATGAGTATCTATGTTACGCTTGTTGAAATATCTACCGCCAACTTTGCGGGTGTGGAGTACATTATCATTTTGTGCATTACATTAGTAGGTTTATTACAATGCATGTTCCTTATAGTAGTTAGTAAAAAAAATAAAGTTTTATTTTTAAGGTTTCTCGGATATTGAGAGTGAGGGTTCGAATTTAAGTCAGAGTAAAAATTTCACACCAGTTAGAATGATTGCTGCTTTCTTACATAGTGATAATATTTATAACTATTATAACGAATATATTACTTAGCAAATTAGCGTCTTCATTATTTTAGAAGAAATTTTTTAGAAATTCTTTTGATTACTTATGTAGAGTGTAGATATGTAGAATATAGATAAGTAGTCAAAAGTATTTCTGTTGCCGCCATTTTATACTTTTATTTACTTTAGTTGTTTGACATTTACTCGGGCCCTTAAACTTTCAATATGCAGTCGAAAAGTTTGTGCTTTTTAATTGATAGGTAAAACATTTGATTTATTAATTAGCTATGATTTCGAATAAATACTTGTAAGCATCCTTGTTACATTATGTTTTATATATTTTTCACTATTTTTAATAGAATGGCTATAGTTTTTAGTTTCGTCCTCCAAGATCTCTACTTACTTGTTGCATTTAAATAAATGATATTATTGATATTGAATAATTCTGAAATACGTTTATATTTATGTCAAGTCGTCAAGATTTTTATATGATTTCGGTTATTTATAAATATTGCATCTAAATAGATATTTTTATCTGGTTCAAAACACTCGTCATAACTTTTTATCTGCAATCAGTCGACATTTCTTCCAGTTACATAAAAATTACAATAAAGCGATGTGTTTATGAAAATATCCTGTATTACTTTGTTACAATTTTATTTTATGTAACGACAGATTCTTTAATACGATGGCATATAAAAATCAATTTGAAAAATAAAAAAGAAAGGAAAAGTGGTAGTCTGTTTCCGGCAGCGATGAATCTTAAATCATTTGTAAGCTTGTCTTATGCAATAACACGAACAGATAATAAATACATTTTATCTACACTCATGTCGAAATATTTGAATTACGAATTTAAACATGGTTTTATAAAGATGTACGTTAAAAACGCACATACATAAAATTAAAAATAAAACTCAGTACAGTACGGCTAGCTGTATCGTAATAGTTATTTATGATATTAGTGTGGTGAGTTGGTTACAACAAACGAGAAGACGAATGGAAACCCGAGACGTAATCCAGGGTTTACCATAGTCACAAGTTTGTAAAAACCAATATTTTGAACTTACGAACAATGTATACAACCTTCGTTAATGCATTTTTGAACAAATTAATTCATGATATTAGGCTGAATGTGAATAAAGGCGCGTGCATTCGAAGTTTGAACTTGATTTCACGCGCTTCCTATGGTAGTTTTCAAATTATAGAGCATAATACGACTCAGTGGCGCACAATGCCGAATTATGCTGATGCTTATTGGAACGTGAATTAGTTTTCAAATGCACCAGCAGAGTGCGCTAAGTTCAGTGTTGAAAAAAAAAGTCAATGTTTCTACCTTCATCCATATTTATATTTAATTTTTTAACACAGTTTGAATTAACTTTGATTATTTTAATAGTTTTAATAGTTTTTCAACAGTAAAGAATATTACTAACGATAACATATAAATAAAACATTTCGATCAATGCCAACTTAAAGAAAAAAACACTTGTTAATTTTCTGTCTCTGAGTTGGTACGATTGCACGCATCACACGAAAGCATTACTTTTGAGAGTGCTCGATTGTGCGAAGCGTTGCTGTAGTTGAAACACTCAACCTTAAGCATTATGCCGCATAATGCGCTATAATGCTGTAATTGGAAGGCTACCATACAATTTTCTGTCGATCGTGTTTTGTTTTCTTGATTTCAGAATAGTTTAGCATAATACTTCTTCGTTACCTAGCTATTTTTTTTTATTTTATTCTATACCATTTTCATTTATATTTCATTTTCATATGAATGAAGATATAGTAGTGTATGCAATTGCATATAATTTAGGTATTAAAACACTCCAGTCAACCTATTATCGGTAAATAGACTCCATTTTTAATACCCCTTCTTGTATGAGAGTCGCATAAACTACTATTTTTTAATTATCCCCGATTAATTTTATATTGTGTTTGAAAATTCAACAATTTCGTAAGGGTTCTGGCCACCCAGTCATAATTCACGTCATGTTAGTTTGTGACAGCTTATAATGTCAACTCAATCACTATCTCAAATGTCAATCAGTCTAAACATGCATGATATTCGTGAAATCATGGTGAAATGATTTACCAATTTGTGATTAAACCTAATAATAAAATGAGTATGAAAGATGAACAGAATCATAACAGTGGAATCAAAGCAGTGGCTTTAGTTACCAATAAGTATTTAATAAAATAGAATATATTCGATGATTTGGCAACTAACAGTACACAAATAAACTTGCCGTTAGCCAATCAATAATTTATGTAATTAAAAATTATTATTATAAGAAAAAACGAACATAAAAAAAGTTCAGTTTTTTTGACAAACGATTTACAATTAAGTGTACCACATGTCATAAAAATTTGGAGTCTGCCGGAGTCTGACTTACCACCTTCTATACATATTTGAAAGGTCTCCTTCCTGTATATTTAATTGAATTTTATAAAATATATTTTTTGTTAATTTAATTGTATTATGAATTTTAATGGAAATAAGAAAAGCGTAATGTTGACGACTTACAATAATAATAATTATAATTGCCTTCTACTTGCCTAGAGTTGGTGGATGTCATAGTGAACTATTTTATTATTATTATTGATATGCCTTAGTATGCTTAGCTATGAATTTGCGTTCATAGGACCAAGCAAATAGTTAATATAGTTAATCGTGCGCTCAGTTGCCTTTTGTACGAAAAGGGATTAAGGAGTGTTAACTGAATAATTGAAAAATTAATATTAAAATTATTATTCTGATTTTGTTGAGGTTTAGAGTTAATATTTTAAAGATTGTTTTATTTAAAGGAAGTGATATTTTATGTTGTTCTTCAGTATCCCCTAAGCCAAATGAAGACAGCTTCTAATTATAAATGTAGTATAAATAAATTTTATATTTATATTTTGTTTTGTAATTAAAATTTTAAGGCACATTATGTTTTGTTTTTGATTCAACCTGTGTTATTTTATTAATATTTAGTAATAGTCTTGACCTTATTAATTTGAGTGCATGTAAGCTTTTATTACCTATTATTTTATTGAACTAAATGCAAGCATTACAGAAAAGATAAATCAAAATGTTCTGGTGGTATCAGTCTGGATTTCGATATAAAAAAATCTTGTAGCGAAATGCTTACATAAAATAAAGTCATAAAACGTATTACTAGACTTTAATAAAGAGTACGTAAATCTGAAACAGTCGGTGCGAA